ACAGGCCGGCCCGGTGGCGCACTGGATAGTGCGCCGCTTGGGAAGCGCGGGGGCGCTCCCGCCCGAGGGGTCGGATCCCACATACAGACCGGTTCCTGCTCACTGGCTGAGCGAGGCGCGGGAGCAACACCAAGGGTTGCAATCCCGTTGCCGGTCCCCGGTCCGGTGCGGGGGCAACACTGAGGGTTGCGATCCATTGCCGGACACGGAAAAAGACAAAAGACAAAAAAATTTTAAAAAAAATAAATAAATAAACCCAGCTGTGTACTTCAGAACCCCCACTCCTCACCACTCTGCTATACATAAATCTAATGAATGAATACCTTGCATGAGTCTCAAGCTTCTCTGTTGTCGTTGTTGTTGTTTGTTTTTAATGGCTGGCTGGTATGGGGATCTGAATCCGTGACTGTAGTGTTATAAGGCTGCGTTCTAACCAACTGAGTTAACTGGCCAGCCCTCAAGTTTCTCTTTACATGCAAAAAGAACTCACCTCCCTCAAGTTTCTCTTTATATGTAAAAAGTACTCACCTCCCTCAAGTTTCTCTTTAAATGCAAAATACTCACCTGGCTAGGGAGATTTCTTTCTTACAGAATATTATTCCTCTGGTTTTTCACTTTTATTTCTTTGTGATATTTCTGCTCTAGGCATCTGCATCCAGCATAGCAAACGTTTTCTGAGAGCTTTAACCAGAGAGAAACTTTTGGAAGCCAAACACTCAGGACCAAGACTGTGTATCGATTTGAGTATGACTCACCACATGTCAAAGAAGGTAGAACATCCACTAAGCCTGGAATTTCTGCTCACACGTGGGAGGCCCAGAAGGGTGCTGCTTTTATGAAGGATTTGACCAGCTCCAGCTTCTGTGATTCCTTAGTAAACTAGCAAAAGTGTTTGGTTTTCTGTATTGGGCTATTAAGTTTCAAGATGACTATTAAAAAGGATCTGGAAGAGAATATACATCCTTTGGTTTAGCTTGCAAATTTTTGCCTTGTTTTCTGTTTTGAGCCCAACACCTTTGTCTCTCTGTTTCTGTTGTCCCCAGTCTGGATGGAATCTTTCAGATTCAGTTCTCCAGACACTAAATCTTTGGTCTTCTCCTGGGAAGAGGAGTATTTCCCTGGTAGGATGTTGTGGGGAGGTTACCTGGTGGAAAGTCTTCTTGGAATGTATGTATTTTAATCGTTTTTCATTCACCCCATTGGTGAGGGAGGGATTCCCACCCTAGGATTCTGGGGATGGCTGAATACATAACACCTGACACTGGACAGATGAGATTGACAGCAGTTTATTAGACTCATATACTCACAGCCCAGGGGATGAAGATACTGCACACCACACAAGGTCACATGGTGGTTGCACTCGAGAACAGAATGAATGAGCACGGGCTGTATAAAGAGGGTGAGGTGTGCCCTGGTTCACAGGAAGATGTGACTGGCTGGTTTGGATAATTCCATGGTCTGGCAGGGAACTGAAATCCACTGCTCACAGATAAGCAGGAACTATGCCTCATCCCCTTAATAAAAAGGGTTTTTTAGCTGGGGGAACTATATCTGTGGGAGCAGAGTTGGGAGGAGAACTTGCAGTTAGGCTATTTGAAGTCCTTCCAGTTTCACCAGAAGTCAAGACAGCACATACTATTGGGCCTCAATTATAGGCCTTATACCACAGCATATAAACCTTAAACAAATCTATTTTCAGATACTCCTGTTGTATGGCTAGTGTTTTCTTGTTTTTCAGAGAAATTTGGAAAACTGCAGATCTGAGGTTCTTACGTGAACCTCTAACTATAGCCCTCTGAAAAGGTCAATCAAGAAATCTCTACTGCCAAATTAAATCAAATCCAGACCTTTTTCCCTCTGCCGAGCAAATCAGGCTAGATTGTGAAACTATATATAAGAGTGATGTCTCTGAGTCAGGGTGGAAGGTTAAAACTTTTAACCCTATTGCATCTCCTGAGTTAGGAAGAAGGTGCCAAATTTACCTGATGGAGTATAAAAATTTCTGTATAGTCTAACCTTTTTAATAAGGTAAATAGTAAATATCACATGGTAAGGTTTTAGATAAAAGCTAAAATAATTTTGTATATTATATTAAATGTACAACAGCAAGGCCAGCAGGAGGGAGAATTCTCAGTTTTTCCACTAACTCACTATCCTGGGCTAATATCATTACCTTAACTTTTGTCTGTAAGGTGTGATGCCATAGAGTTATAACAAACCCACGCACACATGTACCTTCTCACTCCTGGAGTAAAGGGGCCATCCTAGTTTGTGAGATTTCCTGCAGTAGTATTCAATGAACTTATTGCATAATCGTTTGTTGAAAATGAACCTATAGAGTTGCAATGTTTCCACCCTGAATTGTCCTTATTTCTTTGAAGGAATTGAGTAGACTGTCTGGACAGATCCGAAGGTTGTATGGTTCAAACAAAAAAGCTGACAGGCCATTTTGGATTTGCCTCACTGGATTCACAACAGACAGTCCTCTGTATGAAGAGTGTTTGAGGATGAATGATGGATTTTCTAGTTATCTGGTAAGTCTTTTTTTGCTGTTATTTGAATTGTCATATGAAAAGTGATTGTGAGGTAATAGATTTTTTTCACTTTTTCATATTTTGATGTAATATATATGTAAATTATGTTTTCACTATTGCAATGTAACAAAGTTCAGAACCTCTCATTAGTCATTACATTTAAATTTTTTTCTCATTCTTCTACTGCATTGGCAAACTATTACCATTATCTAGGACCGTATTTTGTATTTTGCTATATTTTATGCTAGACTGTATACTCCAGGAATGTTTTTGGGAAATGCCATGACTCCTTTCTGGTTCTCAGTGTAGAATTAGGCAACATGAGTTTTGGGAAAAGAGAAAGAATCCTTTTAGAAGTAATGTGGTTAAGATGAGTTTTAGGGAGCACTGAGGTACTTTTCAATTCTTTCCCTATTATCTCATAAAGGTAGTGATAGATAAGCAGATTCCTTTCTAAGCATGTCACTGAAGATGCCCTTGTGTGTTTGCATTGTATAGCCGAGACTGAGCAGTTGTGGCCTTCGCTAGGGAGGTGCACTGTGCAGCCTGCATAGCTAGTTGTGTTGCTGTTACTATCCTAACAGTCTCTCTTGTAGTGCAGCCATTTCTAGCTTTACTTCTCTGTACTTTTTCTATGATTCCTGTACACAAGCCAATAAACCCACTTACAGGGCCACCTAGTTTCCTTGCTTTCCACGTAGTTCCTGTCCCTATGACTTTCTTAGGTGATTTCCTCTGCTTCGAATTCTTCTCCCTTTTGTATGTGTCATTCTCACCTCTTTTCAGAAACCCAGCTCCAGCATTCCCTTCACCAGAAAGTCATCCCTGAGGGTGTTACTCCCTCATCTGTACTTCTGGGGCATGATCCCTATACCTCTCTCAGAACCCCATATCATTTTCTGTCGCATTTTGTAGATTTAATTTCTGTGCCTGTGTATTTTCCTTTCTAACTGAGGATTGTCTGAGCAGAAGCTGTCAGACATGCACCTCCTTGATACATCTAGAGCCATGCCTGATATAAAATAGATGACCAGTAACTAGTTGTTGAATTGTGGGCTATGTTGTAACCTAGCTTTCACTACATTGGATTCCCTGCATTTTCTAGCTAGACATAACAGAAGAAGACTGCTTTAGTTTATTTCCTCTGGAAACCATTGTGTACCTTACTCCTGACTCAGAACATGGTATGTACTTTTACTGCATGGATTCATGTAGCACATTGTTTCTAGCCCTTTGTTTCATTATTTCCTCTGGTAAAATTTGTTAAAGTCACTCAAGGAGTATCCGCGCCCCCTACCCCCAAAAAGAAAGGAATGAACATGAATTGCACCCCTCTTACGGGTAGATACCTCACTGGATGCTTTGCATATGTCCTACCCTGTGCATGTAGGCGCACAGATTTAGGGTTTCCGTCCTCATCTAGACCATGTGTGCTGCCTGACACTCCTTCCCAGTTTCCCTCGACAGCTGCCCCCAATGGCCCTTCTTAGGTCAATGTTAGATATGAATATATACTTTTCCTAGAAAATCATCTATTTTACATAATTTTCAAATTTGTTGATATTAGGTTGATTGTGATATTTTCTTCTAATTATTTCATATTCCTCTGTAGTTTTAGTTTTATTTCCTTTCTGCATCTACTGTTGATTTGGATCTACTACCTTTATTTCTTGATTAGATATGTCAACAGTTTTTCTCTTTCATTGATCATTTTATTTACTCATTTTTAATTTAAAAAAATTTTTTTTGTGTGGTTTTGTTTTACATTTAGCACCACACATTCAACATATGGTGTCAAATATATATTTTTTTCCAAATAGTTGATAAGTTGGCCCATCATCTTTATTTCTATGCTGATTTAAAATATGTCCCTTAATATAGTCAAAAGTCTCATACATGCTGGGATCTGATTTTCAGCTTCACCCCTACCACCCATTATTATCCAATTAGTACACCTCCCTCCATGTTTCTCCAGATCAAATTTGTTACAAAAGCTGGGGAAATTCCCTCTAGAGGATAGAATGGCACCTACCCCTTCGTGAGAAGAGCTCAGAGTCTCAAAGGAAGGAATCTGCCAGAAGCAAACCCAGCCCCTCTCCTTTACTGGTTGTGAATCCTCAGACAAGTTGCCTAATGTTTTTGGCCTCAGTTTCCTCATTAGTAAAAAATAGGATAATAATATCTACCTCATGGATTTATTCTGGGATTAACTTAAATATAACATAAAAAATAAGTGGCATATAGTAAGTAGTGTCTAATTGTTATTTTCTTTTTCTTCATACCCCAAATTCCCAGCAAGTGAAAAGATGGTTATGCAGAAATCTAACCCAAACAATGAACCAATTTATTTTTTCTTTAATTCCTTTCTTCCCCTTTTTACCTTTATTGGTCATTTTAGAAAATTAGCTTTTGGTCTTTTTGTTTTCTATTCATTAAATTTCTACTTTTATTGTTAATAATTCTTTCCTTTTGCTTTCTTTGGATTTAGAAATTATTAAACATATTTATCTCAGTGGCCTTCATTTTTTTCATTAGCTCTTGAAGATGTTGGTCTAAATGACGTTTATGTCCTTGGTGGACTTGTGGATGAAAGCATTCAGAAGGTAAGTATACATTTCAGCCCCAACATCCGTATTTTGAAAAGTAGTGCTTACTTTTAGAGGCACTTGCCCTGTCATAATTTCATCCAAAGGGTGTAAGAACTCACAGGAAATACAAAGAAAAAGCCTGCTCTCTCCTCATTGGCCCTCCTGCCCGTGAAGTTCCTTCTCTTAGCAGCAGTGTCAGCAGTCCTGAGCCTGACGTAATCAAGAGTCAAGAATTGGGATGGGTAGTGTTTGGTAATTACATAAGTAGCCATTGTTGAGCTTTTCTCTTCCCTCCTCTCTTCACTTCTGCAAGGATAACTCTGATCTTGACCAAGCATTGACTTGTTCTTTGACATTCTTACCAGCTGTTTGTTCTTTGGGAGAGTGTAGTTTGCTAATCAAGCCAACTTCCCTGCTGACGTCTTATTGCAAAACATCAAACTCAGTAGGATTGTCCAGATTTCTTTTGCTGAAGTTTTATTGGAATAATTGGGGTGTCACTGGAGTTTTGAAATGTTTCTATTATTCATATATTTGTTGAGATAATTTTATTTGTTTATATTTACTAATTAGCATATAGTACATAGATAATAAGTTAAATAACGACATAATAATTTAAATTACAAAAAATAATACATTGAAAAATAAGTCTTCTTCCCATCTTTGTCCCCTAGTCTTTCTCCCCTGAGGTAACCATTATTAAGTTTTCTTGCGTATCCTTTTTGACATATTCCATGATCACACAAATATGTGTTTGTGGGTATATTTTACATAAATGTGGGTGTATTTTATATATTTTTCTGTATAAGATACATACACATATTTAATACAGATGATAACTTAATTGCATTTGTTTTAAAAACATTAGTGTCCCATGACTTCATAGTGATAATCTAAAAACTGAGCAGGGGTCCTTTTCAGAAGAATGGCAACTAATGAATGAGGAATGAATGCATAATAGAATTAGAAAATCATCATATTGTCACTCCCAGTGTAATCATTGATTCAGGCAATTGATTGAATGAAAAGTTGTGGAGGAACTGGCTATTTACATGATCTCGAAGTATCACTCTACAGATTACAAAGGAAAAAAATTATCATTACAGTGAAGCAATCTGGTGATCACCATCTTATCCAAACTTGATCAAATTTAGTGTCACCAATAGAGGCACAGTCTGTGCCTCCTGATATGATAGAATCTCACCTGTGAAGTATTCTTGTTAGAAAATGTTTAAACTGGGCCGGCCCGGTGGCGCACTGCTACAGTGCGCTGCTTGGGAGTGCGGTGGCGCTCCCGCCGAGGGTTCGGATCCCACATACAGACCAGCCTCTCACTGGCTGAGCAAGGTGCGGGTGCAACGCCGAGGGTTGCGATCCCGTTGCCGGTCCCAGTCCGGTACGGGCGCGACACTGAGGGTTGTGATCCGTTGCCAGTCACGAAAAAAGGCAAAAAGGAAAAAAAAAAAAAAAAAAAAGAAAAGAAAATGTTTAAACTGAATTTAATCATGAGGAAATAGATCCAGAATGTGGGATATTCTGCAAGACTAGACTGGACTTTCAAAAAAGTCGATGTAATGGAAAATCAATGTAGTGAAAATAGGCAGTGGGCTGTTTCAGATTAAGAGATTAAAAACACATTACTGCCAAATGCAGTATGTGAACTTTGATTGGATTTTGTATTGGAAGGAAAGCTTTATGAAAGATATTTTGAGGACAGTTTGGGAGATTTTATTTTTTTATTTTTATTTTTCTTTTAAAGATGACCGGTAAGGGGATCTTCACCCTTGACTTGGTGTTGTCAGCACCACACTCTCCCAAGTGAGGTAACCAGCCATCCCTGTATAGGGATCTGAACCTGTGGCTTTGTTGTTATCAGCACCACAGTCTCCCAAGTGAGCCACAGGCCGGCCCTTGGGAGATTTTAGTGTAGACTGTGTATTAGGTGAAATTATGGAATTATTGATAAGTTTCTTAGTAAAAATGTTAGTGTGGCAAGGTAGGAGAATGCCATTGTTCTTAGATACGTGCTTAGGTATTTAGTGACGAAGTATTATGATGTCTGTAGCCTACTTTCAAATGGTTCTGCAAAATATGTATTAATATACAAAGAGAGAAAAGCAAATTTGATAAAATGTTAACAACTGGTGGGTCTAGATGACGGAAATGAGTGTTGATTGTATTATTCTTTCAACTTTTCTTAAGTTTGAAATATTTCAAAATAAAAAGTTGGGAGGGAGGAAATTAGCCTTAAAGCAGAATACAGGATCACCACTTACTTTATGAGTTGTCACCATTCTCCTGCAGCGGGGTGACAGCCCCTTTTTTCAAGGCAGTAAAGTCCAGGCCAGTAAGCAGTGTATGACCTATAGATGGGCAGGGGGTTTTTTTGTTTTTTTTTTTAAAGATGGCCGGTAAGGGGATCTTAACGCTTGACTTGTTGTTGTCAGCACCATGCTCAGCCAGTGAGCGAACCGGCCATCCCTATATAGGATCCGAACCCATGGCCTTGGTGTTATCAGCACCACACTCTCCTGAGTGAGCCACGGGCCGGCCCTAGATGGGCAGTTTTAACACATTGTCTTCTCTTATCTCTCCACTGACATTTAAACTGAAAAATAACTGGCACAAAGATTTGTCAGATGTATAGAACTTTTTGGTTGTTACTGTAGAGTTTGGATTCTTCAAAGTAATCACTAAGAATGAGGTTTCTTCAAGGAGAGTCATTTTGTCTTTAAATGTGCAGAGAGCAGAAACTAGACTGTAAGCTCCTCTGGGGTAGCATCCAAGTCTTCTACTAACTTTGAATTCTTCTGTACTCTAGTTCAAAGTAATTATAAAAGAATAAGACTTTTTTTTAAAGCAAACATAGCTTATATATTCAAAGGAGTGTTATCCTTTAGCAAAGTTCTTTGAGTAGTTGTACCCTTAACCCACCTCAGTTGCATCACTTAAAACATTTTGGGAATTTCTGAGAATTGTGTTTCATGTGGGTCTGAGAGGCAGGTAATCCAGTGTCAGAACAAAGGTGCTAGGCTTGCTTCATGCTATTCTAGTTGGTTAGACCACACTTATGGTTTTGACACCATAAATGAGAATACATTGACAAGCTAGAGCAAGTTCAGAAGAGATTGACCTGAGTGATGAAGGAACTTGAAACTAAGTCATAGTCAGAGAAGAGTTGACAGAACCCAGACTACAGACTGGAGACAAGAGGATTCATAGGGGCATGATCACTGCCTTCAAGTATCTGAATGGCCATCCTGTAGAAGGCCCTGGGGGAAAAGAACTAGGATGGATGAGTGGAAGTCTCCAGAGAAAACAGAACATTTTGCTTAATATCAAGAAGAATTGCTTTTTTTTTTTTTTTTCTTTTAAATGAACGGTAAGGGGATCTTAACCCTTGACTTGGTGTTGTCAGCACCACGCTCAGCCAGTGAGCAAACTGGCCATTCCTATATGGGATCCGAACCCGGGGCCTTGGTGTTATCAGCACCACACTCTCCCAAGTGAGCCACGGGCCAGCCCTCAAGAAGAATTTATTAACTGCTACTGGCACAGGTGGAATGGGTTGCCCTAGTATATTAGCCCATTTCTGTTGCTTATAACAGAATGCCCCAAACCAGTATTTATAAAGAAATAGAATTTATTTCTTACAGTTTTGAGGCTGGGAAGTCCAAGGTCCAGGGAATACATCTAATGAGGGACTTCTTCTTAGTGGTGACAGTCCACAGCAACTCAGGTTGCCACATGGTGAGAATGGGCTGAGCAAGAGAGAGCTAACTTCTTCACTTGCTGTCCTTTTTTTGTCTTTTTTCGTGACCGGCAACGGATCGCAACCCTCAGTGTCGCGCCCGTACCGGACCGGGACCAGCAACAGGATCGCAAACTCGGTGCTGCCCCCGCACCTCGCTCAGCCAGTGAGCGGGAACTTGTCTGTATGTGGGATCTGAACCCTCGGCAGGAGCGCTGCCGCACTTCCCAAGCGGCGCACTGTAGCAGTGCGCCACCGGGCCGGCCCCACTTGCTGTCCTTTTAAAGTCATCAGAACCACACCCATTACTCCTTGAATGGAGCAATCCATTCACAAGTGCGTAGTCCTCACAGTCTAATCACCTCTTAAAGGCCCTGCCTTTCAAATACCCTAATTGGATTTCCCATCCTCTTTACACTGTTATAATGGAGATTAGGTTTCCAATACATGAACTTTTGGGGGACACATTTGACCCATAGCATGCAGGATATATGAACTCCCTCTCAAAAGTGTCCATTTAGGGCCGGCCCAGTGGCGCACTGGAGAGTGCGCTGCTTGGGAGCGCGGAGGCGCTCCCGCCGCGGGTTCGGATCCCATGTGGAGACCAGTTCCCGCTCACGGGCTGAGTGCGGTGCGGGCCGCAACCCCGAGGGTGGCGATCCCGTTGCTGGTCAGTAAAAAAAAAGGGGGAAAAAAAAAAAAGTGTCCATTTAGGGCCGGCCCAGTGGCGCACTGGAGAGTGCGCTGCTTGGGAGCGCGGAGGCGCTCCCGCCGAGGGTTCGGATCCCATGTGGAGACCAGTTCCCGCTCACTGGCTGAGTGCGGTGCGGGCCGCAACACCGAGGGTGGCGATCCCGTTGCTGGTCAGTAAAAAAAAAGGGGGAAAAAAAAAAAAGTGTCCATTTAGAGGCCAGCTCGCCACTTGGGAGAGAGGTCATAGAGGAGAGACAAACACTGGATGGGTGGTTGAAGTGAAATAGTTAACATTCTTGAGACCCCTTCCAAACCTGAGTTTGTTAATATCCTAGTAATCTAAACCTTTCTCTTTAATCCTTATAGAAAATCTTTCCTATGCTTCTTCCAAGATAGTGAATGTAATTTAAACCTCAGTTCATGGCTCAGGAACATCTTATGAATGGACATCAGTTTCAGTACTCTGATCCTAAATAGCCTCAGATTGTTGGACTTTTTGAGTTCTTGTGACTTTTTTGCCATTTTCAGAGTCCTTCCTTTTAATTGGGCTGTCTCTTCTCCCACCTTAATATGGTCTTATTGCCACCTGCATACCTGTCTTGAATTCTGTCTCCCTTTTCTCTAATTTGCTGCTGTTAATTGGCTGTGAGCTGAAAACTCCAGATATCTGGAATTAGGTCTTTCTGAGTTAGAACCAGGAGTGTTCTAAGTTTGATTACGCTGCTTGGGATTTTTAACGCCCATTGTGGCTGCAGATTTGCCTCTTTTGCTTATTTCTTAATTGTAAGTGGCAGTGAGTGAAGGCTTGTGGGATAAATGACCCCACAAAAAGTGAGATGTTACCACACAAGCCATTTCTTACTTGGGAAAAGTTCATTCTTCATTATCTGCAGTTTCTTACATTCTGCCATAGGCTACTTATTTTTAAATGTTTATCCTTTAATTATGATTACAGATAGAAATTGGAGTAGTGGTAAATGGGGATTCTCACAATTTGTTATGCATATTACAATGAGAATATATTTTTGTATAATTTTTATAAGAAAATTATTTGTGATTTTTCAGAAGGTGACATTTCAAAAAGCCCAAGAATACTCTGTCAAGACAGCCCGCTTGCCAATCCAGGAATACATGGTCAGACACCAGAATGGGAAAAATTATCATTCAGAGATATTGGCCATCAATCAAGGTACTGCTCACATGGCCCACACCCAACATGCATTAGTTCTGGTGCTGCTTCTTTGTGTTGTGTCTAAGTAAAAATGGCCCTTGAATCAGTCTCCACTGACTAATGTGATTAGGCTTTATTGCATGCACTTTGTGAGATGTATTCTGGACACTGAGAGGCATTCTGCATTTTCCTCCTGGTCCCCAACTATGTTATAGTTGAAATTGTCCCCTTGGCCTAGAATGCCCTGGCTTCAACCCTTCATTGACCAGTGAATTCCTGTTTGTCCTTCAGGGTTCAGTTCAGGGGCATTTGGGCTGGCTTTCTTCTCCCTCCCAGGCTAACCCTAACCCTAACCCTAACCCTTCTTTTTGTCCCCATTTTACTGTATACTTCTGAGTTGCAGCATTGTCCACTCACAGGCTTGTGTCTCTCAATGTAGGCTGAGCTCTTTGCGAGCAAGCAGGGCCTGTGTCTTTGCCTCTCTCCCTGCCAGAACCTAGTACCACCTGTGGTGCAGAATAGGTTTGCTGAATGAAATATTCCAGAACATCCTTTTCCTCATTGACTAATTACCAGTTCTCTTTTTCCTGTGTGGTCACTATGTTTTCTGTTTACCCTCTAACAGTGTTTGATATCCTGTCTGCTTACTTTGAGACTCACAACTGGCCTGAAGCGCTGAAGAAAGGAGTTTCTTTAGGAAAAGGCTATGTTCTTCGGAATTCAGTAGAATGATGAGCAGCCTAAGATTACAGCTGCAAGAGGTGAAGTGCGGAGGTGCCTTGACCAAAGAGCAGGGCAGAGGGTGGCAGTGGCACACACTTGCCTTTACTTGACATCTTCTTGGATCTTCATAAGATATAAGCTACTAATGACAGGGACCACAATTATGCTGTTTTGTATCTTCCATAGTGCCTGGCTCACAGGAAGTGCCCAGATACATGTTAAGTAATAAAAGTTTACATAACAAGGAATTAGCCCCCAAACCACATGGCTTTGGATGTGTTGATTCATCTTTTGTATATCTATCTCTGTTTGTGAAAGACCTGCTATGTAGAAATTGTTTAAATAAATAACTTTTATTGTATCAAGAGTTTAATTTTCACTGGCATCATAAAATTGTATGACTTTCTCCAGCCTCCTCTGATCACACAGATCTTCCCCCAACTCAGTAATACGTTGTTCATAAGCTTTGCAGGATCAGCCTGTCTGATCTATCCCTACTTTGAGTCCTCACAGCATTTTGTTTCTTCCTGTGGCTCTTACCTTGTTCTGCCTTGTTGAGTGTGAACATGGGAGGTCTTCTCTCTTCCTAATGGTAGGATCCTAACCGGACAATTTGTGTGAATATCTTTGTATTCTTTTGAGCCCTGTACAAACCAGATTCTTCATATATATTTGCAATTAATAGATCAAATTGTAAAGCAAAAACACAGTACTGATAAAGTCTAACTTGAAAGTAGCCAGAAAATGTTACATTTTGACACAGGAGCATGTTAGAGACGCTACTTAACACACAAATCTCTTATTCCTTTTTTTTTTTTTTTGACTGGTAAGGGGATCTCAACCCTTGGCATGGTGTGGTCTGCACCACGCTCAGCCAGTGAGCGCACCGGCCATCCCTATATAGGATCCAAACCTGTGACCTCAGCGCTACCAGCGCCGCACTCTCCTGAGTGAGCCACGGGCCAGCCCAGTTCTATAATCTCTTTCATCCAAAAGGGACTTTCTATGTAGAGGCTTCAAGGGGTCCGTATCTCTCATATTCTCAAAGAGGTCTATGACCCCAGAACCAATGACCTGGATTATGTGCCAGTCTTCATTTGTACCTATCAAGGTTTTCCATAATATACAAAAGCATGGAAGAATTTTCTTCCCAACTCTATCACAAACCTCTCCCATTTATCCAAAACCGGGGCAGGTAGTTTTTCATTTGACTTCTAGGAAATGACTTTAGCAAAATAAGATTTGGTCATATTTGGATTCAGAATCCTCATTTGTTGTTATTTACATAACAACAAAAAGCTGAATATATCCAAAATATCCTATAACATGAAAATGAAATATTTACGCTACTGAATTTTTAATAGCAATCATGAAAGAAATGTAACATATGCTGTTTGAAGTGGACAAATTATATTACAAAGTAGTACAGGTGGCATCCCTAATCCAAATATTCAGAATTTCTGGAGCATCAATTTGACGCTGAAAGGAAATGCCCATCTCAGCATTTCAGATTTCAGATTAGGGATGCTCAACCAATATACTCCAAAATGTGAAAAACCCTGAAACACTTCTGGTCCCGTCCATTTTGGATAAGGGATACTCAACCTATATGTCTACAAGATATAATCCTATAATTCCAATTTGAAAAACACATACACAAGTGGCTGAGAATGTTGACCAATTTAAAAAAAAACTTTTTTTGGCTGCTGGTCAGTACGGAGATCTGAACCAATACTGCACTCTAACCAAGTGAGCTAACCGGCCAGCCCCCAAGTTAAATTCTGTGCCTGTTTCTTCAACTACAAGGACAGTGTCTTCTCCAGTTACTAGGAATGAAACAATACTTGGTGCATGGTAAACACATAATTGTTAGCCGTTACATACTCACTGTATTCTAGATCTCCCCTGGTGAACATATTTTACTATTATAACCAGAAAATAATTACTTTAATGCTTTCAGTTCATTGTAGAAGATGCACTCTAGCAAAACTAAGGGCGTTAACTTCAAATAAATAAACCATAATACTAACTTTTTAGTAAACTTTATTGTACAGAACAAAAAAAATTTTGATTTTATAATGATATTCTCACCCATAAGAGCATGGGTGAAAACCAGTAACTTTCTTATATAAATATTTAGGACCATAATAAGACAGTATGTACATTCATATCTTGTCTTCTGAAGATTTAATACAGAGAGGTTCACCTGAAAAAAGTTTTCTCCAGGAAACTCATAGTCTCTTGGCTCAACTGACCTATTAAAAGAGTCCACATATTATCACTGACATATATCAACTTTCTGCCAATCTGGAGAAGATTTGTTTTCTTTGATCTGCTGTCATGTGTTCACAAGCTTCTAAAATGTTTGCCAAAATTAAAGTCTGCTGAATGGTTTTTGCCTTAACCCATACTCTTCCATTCATTCCAAATACAATCTCCAGTGGATAGAGTTTTCCCACTTCTTGTATGATTTCACAATCTGGAGCTAATAGCCTGGTGGGGAAAAGGAAAGAAAATGAAATTTGATGAAGTGGTAGGATACGTCCTAATGCCTTCTGAACTCTTTTTCTGGGCAGTTATTTCAAGCCTGACTACGTCATTCTAAGAACAAGGCACATGATAACATTTGCTGACCCCTTTCTTCCAAGAAGCTTTACATTTTTCAAAGATATACCAGAAGTCACAAAGGTGGGCTATCCCCTACAAAAAAAAAAAAAAAGAAAAAGAAAAAAACCAAATTCCCTATGTGGCCAACTTTGCAAAAGTTCTTCCCCTACATTGTTGGAACACCTTAATTCTAGACTTTAGAATCATACCTTTCTTATTACAGTGCTAAAAGAACACTTATTTTCCTGACCATGTAAGTTATTCCCTGGTATTAAATCCAGTACTTGGAGAGGAGCACTGGCTCTTTCAAACCACAAGGGTTCTGCTTGATTAACAACATGCTTCTCTAATGTCCCAAACTAATTCTCCAAATCTGAGGAGAAATTCAGGTACTGTTAATGACAAACCCAAGTCCCAAAGATTTGTCAGCTTTCCAGGAAGGCATAATTATACAAGAAGGCAGCAAGCAATAGGCATCAAGACTTACTTTCTGGGCTGGCCAGTTAGCTCAGTTGGTTAGAACATGGTGCTGATCACACCAAGGTCCATGGTTTGATCCCTGTACCGGCCAGCCACCAAAAAAAAAAGAAAGACTTACTTTCTAATTAAGCCCAAAGTCACTTTAAAAAGCAGACCATCCTGTCCAATCACACCCATTCCATTGGCTCGTCCACAGCTGTCAATGCAGACCATTTCTGGTTCCATATCTTTATTAGCAACCACAAATTGGCCATAGATGAGATCTCCAACCTACAATGACATTAATAAACTGTTCATTTTCTCTCAAGCAAACCACTCAATAGGTACTACTATTGGTTCTTTCACACAGGCAGCCATGCCAGACACCTATAGTTCTGTGGCTACAGCACTGACTACATGCTAAGATTCCCACAATCACCTTGGAGTTGAGTCCTGAAAGAAGGCAAAATTAACACATGGACCCTCCCCCTTCACCCACCAGGAAATCCCCAACTAGGAGCTATCTCAAGGCCAGAAAAACCCTCTTGGGTTGCACTGTCCAATATGACCGCCAGCACGCACATACTTACTTTAAGTAACATTTAAATAAAGTTAGATATTTAAAATTGAGTTTCTCAGTTGCATTAGCCACATTACGAGTGCTCAAGAGCCACAAGTAGCTAGTGACCACCTTACCTATCAGTGCAGATATACAACAGCATCATCATAAAGCTCTATTAGCTAGCACTACTCTAGAGAATTACAGAAGACTTATGGACAGAGCGAGGAACTCCTAGCATGCAAATTATTCAAAGCAAAATGAAACAATGGTAATTCACTGACATTTCTCCATGTAAGATTTACTTAACAACCTCATAGAGCTGAACTTCAAAATGATGAAACTGAGGAAATGGAGACATGGTGGCTGCAGGAACTAGAGAGGAACAAAACATTCTCTGCCTTTCATAAGCATGTGGTCTTGGAGGGCAGCAGACATATACATATCAACAACAAACTTCACTCAAGAATAAATCCAGTAAGTGCTAGAGCAAAGATATAAGAAAAGTGACAACTGGCGATGGCTTTACAGAGGTGGTTGTGTTAAGCCTGGGTCTCAAAGGATGAGCATGTGTTCCACAGGCTGAGAAGGGGGTGCTGCAATCCAGACAGAAGGAAGAGCATGAACAAAGGTACAAGGGCAAGAAATTGAGTTCTGTGGTGTTTTGTACGGTTAAAGCCTAGCTGTCTGAAGGAAATAATTATGCATGAAGGAAGACCCCTGGAGTGTAATGCCAAGGAATTCTGTAGATTTTCAAAAATCTTTTTTTTCTTCTGAAAAAGAATGTGAGTGAGGATGTCAGCTCTCAAAAACCTGGATGGAGAGGTAAACGTGTGGAGGCAGAGATGTTAATGAGGAGGTAGATAACTGGGTCCTGTCAAGAGGGATGGACATGCAAAAAATCAGAGATAGAGAACAAAAAACCAAAAGATCAGAGGCAGAATCAAATAGGATCAAAATAGGATTAGGCAACTAAAGACACACGAGAGGTGAATGAGAAGGGGCAAAGCAACCACTAAATTTCTGGCTTGGGTGGACTGGAAGGGTGTGGCTATGCTACCCAAAAGCCCAAACTGAAACCTAAGGGAACAAGATTATTCCTCTGTCAGCTATAAGGACCTACAACCAGGATGGAGGGATGGCTAATAATGACCATTTGTACCACTTCTCCCTCCTCTCTAAGCCTATGGTTAACTTCCTTGTCCAGTGGATATGAACATAACAGATAACAACAGAGATAACAGATAAAACCTTTTATCTTAGTAAAGATGAAACATCCCAAGAACCAATGTAGCAAATATAAAATAAGCATGTGGCTCTGGTCCTGGAGCTGAAGCATCTGAAGGAACTCGGGCAATTACAAAGGTGCTCAGAGAGCATCCTATAGAACTGGGAAAACAGGCTGGCCAGTTAGCTCAGTTGGTTAGAGCACTACATGATAACACCAAAGTCACGGGTTTAGATCCCCATACCAGCCAGCTGCCAAAAAAATAAATAAATAAAAAATGTAGAACTGGGAAAATAGGACATGCTTTTGAGACAATTCAGGCAGCCTTCTGGATATTTGAGTGTTCTAGGGAATGAATGTTTTTCTTACTTTTGAAGCCAAAGGCTCCTATCATTACCTGCACATTTGGTCTGTTTCTTTTAGTTGCACCTTCAAATGCCAAGTAAGACAAAGAAGCTGGCTCACTCCCTCCAACATCGACTTTGAATATATCTCCAGATTTAGCTGTCACTAT